AAGGCTACCTTGACGAAGAAAAGATCAATAAAGCGCTAGCTTGGTTAGTCGTCATACTAAACCTCCCATACCGAATAGTTGAATCTCGGGAATTTCACCTCTTCATTTCTACCTTGAATCCTGTCGCGAAGGACTTTCTCCCCTCAGCCCACTCAACTATTCCAGGAATCATTGATCAGCAATTCCAATCTGCAAAGAAAATCGTACGAAAGAAGCTCCAATCGGCAATGTCCAAGGTCCATCTTTCACTTGATATTTGGACTTCTCCCAATCGACTTCTTCTTCTCGGAATTTGCGCTCATTTTGTCGACCATGTTCAAGAAGCACGAAAAAAAACACTCCTTGCTCTTCGGCCGGTAGCCAACCACTCAGGAGAAGAGCAGTTTATTACTCTTATGCCAGTTCTGCGAGATTTTGGCATTGTGCGACGCATTGGTAGTGTTGTGGGTGATAACTCGAGTACGAATGATACCCTTTGCCGTGCATTCAGTACATGCCTCAAGGAAGAGGAGGGCATTGATTGGGATCCCGAAGTCCACCGTCTCCGATGTATGGGCCACATTATTAACTTGGCAGTTCAAGCGTTCCTGTTCCAAGGCTCTCTAGACTCGAAACGGTGCGAACAGTACGATAACGGAGAAGAACTTGAAGGAATCCAAAAACAGCGCGCCGAGTTTCGGCTTCTCGGCCCACTTGGAAAGCTCCACAACCTGGTTATCAATATTCGAAGTTCGTCAGGACGAACCAAGGAATTCAACGAGCTCGCAGGGAGAGGGATTCCACTTGATAATCGTACAAGGTGGAATAGTTGGTACCAAATGCTGCACGTTGCCACAGAAGGGAATTGCAGGTGCCCTGGACACCTACACCAAGAATCACTTTGCAGATCTCTCTGCCGATTTTCTATCACCAGAAGATTGGACTCGGCTCCGCACGATTAAAGAGATCCTTCAACCGTTTTCACGAGCAACACTGGCAACGCAAGGGGATCACGCCACGCTTGATAAAGTGCTGTTCACGATGGACGTCTTGATCCGATGTTTTGATGAGGCTTTGGTAACATACATTCTTGTCTGATATCTTCACGTGAACGCTAATATGGTGTAATAGATCTCATATAAATCAGACCCAGAACTTTCCCCCAGGATCCGGAAGGGGTGGGAAGTCTTCGATAAATATTACAGCAAGACAGAGAATTCGCCCTATTACGCGGCTGCTTTGGTCCTTCATCCAAGCTATCGTACGACGTACATTCACTCAAATTGGAAGAAGAAGTGGCATAAAACTGCTTTCAAACAGGTCAAAGACCTGTGGCACTCATACCGAGATACAAACGACGGTACAATTTCGTATCAGGCACTTGACGAAGAGGAAAACAATGATCTTGATGCATTTGATCGTATTTCGAGAAATCTGCAGAATTGTGCTCGACCTACAAGTCAAGACGAGTATGAAGATTACATCTCAGGTGATCCATACGACATTGCGCCAACAACTGCCTTATCATGGTGGCTTCAAGAGCGACATAGGAAACGATGGCCGAAGTTATCACGAATGGCAATAGATATCCTATCAATGCCAGCGATGAGTGATGAGCCGGAACGGGTTTTTTCAGGGGCTCGTCGTACGATCTCCTGGGAAAGGGCACAATTGGATGCGGACCAAATTGAAAAGGGAGAATGCTTGAAGCATTGGGTGAAGAACAATGTCTTGAAGGGGGAAGAAGGGGCTGTGGTGTGAGATTTCGTGTAAATTCCCCGTCTGATTTCCCTCCTCTTTTGGAATAAAACACGCAAGATTTGCCTACCCTTCTTTTTGACATTATCATTAAGCTCAATAAATTACTTCGTATTTTTAATTCACTATATGGTGTGAATTTGTCCATCTTGTCGGAGGCGTCGTCAGTGACATTTTGTCGTCGTGCACGGACCAAGTATGGAAAGGTGTATTGCAATACTTGCAATAAATGTGGGGCCGATACCGATTATCGATTGCAGGCCTTTCCATGTATGGAAAACCACCCTGAGTGAGCCTAGCGCCGGATTTTTGGGCGTAGAGAGAAGCGCTAAACCCAAAGTGGCGGTCCCCCGGGGGTTCTTTCATCGTGATACTTACATTCATCCCAGATCTGCGACAAAGCTGGGGACGCCGATAGGCTGGTTTAAAACGTTTCGAAAGAGCGCCTCGTGAGATTAGTGAGACTCAATCACGTGGATTGTGCAATTGATATGCCTGTGTTGTACTCTATTGATCTGGCTGAGAATCCAACTCCACCATCTCCATCTTGTCTGCTATAAGGTTATACCTTTGCACGATTCTCCGCAGCTCCGTCCTCGTTTCCGACGACGCGGAAACTTCTCATGGATCAGCAACATTGCTGCACCGGGTATCTGAGTAACTTACCTGTAACTACCATGTCTTCTCGAGCATTGGCTTCTTCTTGAACCCTCTTGATATATTTATGAGGCAAACCTTTAATGACCTTGGCGCGGGTACTGATTTTGTCGTCTCTTTTTGCATGCTCAACATAAACCGATTCCGAAGGAGCTTGTCAATGGTAAGCAAAAGGTCAAAAGCGTGCACCGTGAGTTCTCACATATCCGTCTTCCAAAGTGTCATCATTCAGGGCGCAGTTGAGCAGCCGTTCGATCGCAAGAGGCAGGTCTACACGTGTGAGGAAGGCGTTCGCAGGCTCTGGCCTATACGTTCTCACTCATGGAGTGACTTCAGCTCCCACACTAAGTGGATCCTGCGGGTCCGTACCCTGCGGCTGTTATAGCCGTATAAGAGCTGCTTCAAGTATGGCAGCTGGGCCGCTATGCCAAAGCCGCTCGCAATCATCAGAATAACGCCATACTCACCAACTGGAACACTTGTTCCATATGGCCCGGTCAAGATTGCTGGGCAGGGAAATTGTGGGTCTTTCCTGCTGCGAACGAGGAGCTGCTTCGTCAGTCCCCGTCGAGGTTCAATAAGGAGGTCCAGGGAGGACTGGGGGCGTCCGACCAAGATGCTACTACGAAAGGGCGGCTCTGGTATAAAGATCGGAAGCTTGTCGCCGGCATGAAAAGCCAGAGGTTGATCCGCTGTCCGGCCTTTACAAGAAGAGGCCGCGACAATGATACGGTTACGATAATGGCGCCGCGGTGTAAGAGGCTGACCCGGAGTTTATTCAACAAGCAGGTGCCTAGGTGTTGTCTATCTAGAGCTAAAGAGAAAAGGAAGCTGAACTCGAGGCTACGCCTCGAATGCGAGCTTATATTGCCCTTCACAGAATGTTCTCGCAGCTTCCGGGTCCGCGGAGCGGGGCCGATGCTGCCACCCGAGCACGACCCACCGGACCCGGCTGTACCGGGTCCACCAAGCCGGGCACAGCCCGTGACACGCGGGACTGTGTGATTGTCGCTTTGAGGAAGCCTCGAGTCAAGAACGCATTTCGACGGAGAATCAGGAAACTGATAAAGATACTGGACAATCCAAATATGCCTAAGAGCGAGTGAAATAGACGCGTGGCATCAGCCGCTTGCGGGTTAGGTGCATCCAGAGGCCGTGCACCAGCAGGACGGCTAGATTATGATGAAGACAAAGGAAAATTTCGTAACACTGTCTTTTGAAGAACGGGACGGACAGGAGGAGAAGTGCACCTAGTGATGACACAGACTTGAGTTCAGCCGGTCAGCATATATGAAGGGCCCCTAGACAAGGTCTTCGACGGGATCACTCGCTACAAGACCCAAGAGGTTCTCCGGCTTATCCAATGGAAACGGGCGGCGGTCAACTTGAATGCAAATAACGTGAACACCAGCCGCAGAAATGCCATGGCACCCACTGAAGCATGCAGACGACGAACAAATCGCCATTTCAGTCCCATTGCATTAGACAAGGAGTCGAGGCTTGGCGATGCGAACAATAGCATCATATGTATCAGCGAGATGTTAGCTGCGCGCATTCCTGCAGAGGTAAGATTGCTGCTCTTGAAGTAGACGCAGAAAATTGTCACGCTCAAATAGGCAAGTTTTGCCAACAGGTCCGCACGGCTCCATTCTATAAGGATACGTCTTCCAAGCGCCGGACGGTAGACCAGGTACTTTAAAACAGGGACGCGGATAAGGTCTCGGGCCTTGCTTAACTCTGAGCGGAAACGGACACACGCAAGGAATAGAAAAGCGGCCCACAGTGCAAGCGAATATGCCACGATAACGTGGGAATCGATATCATGCATGGCGGCTTGGTGATGCGCAGAGGGGAAGACAGAAAAAAAAGCTCGGCGTGGTAGGTGCTTATTTATGTAGCAGTGTCCGGCTGCGCTAGCCATGGGCTATACCCGACTGAATCTGTGTAGTGGCGGTTACTTCCAGAGAGTGAGCACAAACCACAACATGACGATTGCCTTGTCGCCGTCCCGACAGTTGAGTATGGAAGGACTGCAAGGGCCAGGCTTGAACTTGTAGTGATAATGTATGAAAATAATATGTGTATGCAGGTTTTGTAGCTGGCATGACGAAGTGAGGGACCACAAATGCAGCGAATCCGACCCAGCAGCAGAAAATCTGGGCAAGGATTGTGCCACATATGGTGAGGGATGTGCAGAGACAGGTGCAATCAACCAAGGAGAGGATCCCCCGGTGGTTTTCGGTCAAAACTCAAGTGCGGGGCAACGCGACGGAGGCGAAACCATCGACACAGCACATGATGCGGCACTCCAGAATATCGCTTCTTCTATGCCACCCAAGGTCTCGGAGGTAGCAGCAGGCGATGTGATGCCTGTCTGCGACCGCCCTATTGAGTCTGCTCCGGTCTTCCTCGCAACTGGGACCATAGGTAATGGTCTCTCCTCTGCCGGTTATCGCATTGTGCTCCATCGACCAATATCAACGCCAGAATTGTTCTACTCTGAGGATGCTATGAGGGCGATAAAGGTGATGGAAACAATAATGCTGGATTGTGTAGAGCTGGATTCCTCTCTTGGCAAGTACGCGAGTGTGACCAGCACGGGCACAATGACAACAAAGAAAGAGAAGATTCGGAGCATTGCAAAGAAGCTAATTGAGCTGGACTATGACGAGGCTGTGGAAGCCGTCAAGAAGGTGGAGGCGCATTTGGCGGCCAAAATGATCCAGGTCCGGTATGACGAAACGATGTTCTGGAATATCATCAAGAAGGCTGCGGCTCGTCTCGACCCGACGACACTGCCGACACCAAAAGGAGTTTTGGACGAGTTCAGCAGGGAAGAGAAAGCTGCCACTGAGAAATTTATCAAGGAGGCCGGACAGGGACCAAGTCAAGGTAACCAACGCCGATGTCGCAGACTGTGGAAAACCCTACATGACATGCGAGAAGCTGGCGTCGACAACATACTTTTATATCGCACCAAAGAACTCGATCGCTTCTGTACTGGATACCCGATGGGCCAGGAATCTGCTGTGGTGGAGAATGTGCTGTCATGGGAAGAGATATATGGTCCGCACATCGTCCGACTTGAAGCCTGGGCAACGGGACTGCGTAGTGGCGATTGGAGTGGGACTTCGTGATTGAAGCAGCGACATATAGCAAAGAGGCTGGAAGTTCCGGATTCGTCGTGGAACTGCGCTAACAATGCCTGGCTTTTCGACGCGGAAGAGGCTGAATTCACTTCTCTCCCAGGCTCCACTCAAGCGCTGTCAAGCGACGAGCTGGGCGTCCCACTCGACATCAAAGGATTGAAGAGTGGGAGCAGAAACAAGTCAGTCTTCGTCAGCCTTCTCGCCAAAGATGAAGCGTTTCTTTGGGTTTGTTCTGTCACCACCATGAACAAAGATGATCGCCTGGGCGTCTTCGTGGGGCACCTCCGGCATTCGGAAGGCTTCGACACCACGTGGGGGATCAAAGGACCAAGAGAAAACCTGTGGTTGGATTATTCGAAAGTCACCGGACTGCTGAATCAGATGCGTGTATCGCAACAGGGTGGTGATGCAAACGTGCGCCTTCATTGGGAGCTCTGTGATGTTGAGGGAAGGTCAGAGCCCACTTGGACGGTCTCCGCTTGGGCTCTCAAGACGATTCGACCATTCGAAGAATTCGTCCGTTGTGCAGAACAGGAAGCGCAGTTCCGCTTGCATCAAGATCCAGCTTGCGCGAGGAAAGGGTTCCTCAGATGAGGAGAGAGGCTCGTGTTGAGGAGACGGATAAAGAGGTGGTGGTTGAATCTGTTTAGTGATGGCATTATAATTTGAGGTTTAGATGAGCGAATATTTAGGGTCAATATAGCCCGCGTTGACGATTGATGCCACATCATCTAAGTTTATTACATAGTTGGTACTACCACGAATGCCGCGTATTTTGCGGACTCGACTGCGACGCTGGAATCTTGCTCTGAGCCGCACATGCTCGCAGTGCACATCCGAAGTTGCTGTGTTTGCGAAATCAGACTTCATGTGGGGATTTCGTTGGACCAGCCGAACAAGCATCACATGGAAGGTCGCCAAGTCATCGCATCACACATATGTGATACTGTCGCACAACACGATGACGCACAGTATGGATGACTGAGCAATAGTCGGGAAGAATATCCCCTGTGAATCGGGCAACGGAAGACTCTTGATTTCTTCTCAAAAGAGCGAATATATATCTCTTATATACATGAATAGAGAAATGGAAGGCGGCGGCGGCTGCAGGCAGCAGCTTGACTAGTGGCGACTGTCTATTAGGCAGTGGGCAGGACCGTGAATGAGCGTCTGATCTTGACAGATACATACTCCCACCTCGGGACTCAAGTCCCCCAAGTAGTGTTCATTTGGCTGGGGGCTAGTACGTTGCCGAATGTCTTTTCAAGTTTAGCGACGAACGAATACGTGAGTGAGCACGAACTACCTATCATCAATATCTCAGCAACAGCTACAACGTAACTCGTTATTTCATTCTTGGTACGGGATCGCATTGCCCTGCCGGTCAAGAATTGAAACGAGTCTAATGCATTTCGGACGATGAATTCCCTGCGTGTGTACTCATCTCGAGCAATCGCGGCACGACCTGTCTAGACACTGGTGTGGCGGTGCGTATGATGCTGTGCCGTTTTCGACTGGTGCTTGGTCTACTCGCTCAGCACGTCGTATTGGTCGACGATCTTGACCTCGCTCTGCGAGACCTCCTCGCCGGTGGGGCTGGCCATCGCCTCCTTGGCCTTCTTCTTCCCCTTCTTGATCCTCTTGGAGAAGGCGATGGTGGTCGTTATGCTGTCGTCCTTGCTGTCGGTGTCGGGTCGCCTGAGGACTAGCCCCAGGCTCTCGTTGCCCAACTTGGCGGCCTCCTTCATCAGGCCCATGTACACATACTTCCTCGCCTCGGCGGACCTGACGACGTCCTCCATCGACTTCATCCTCACACACGCGTACACGATCTCGAACGGGCTTAGGCTGACCAGCGACCTCGTGTCCGAGTACACCGTGACTAACATGTCCACGAACCACTTCGGGGTGACGGACTTGACTATGGCCTCGAGCGAGGCGAAGTTGATGGTCATGATGGAGCACTCGATGTCCGGCTTGGTGACGCCCCAGGTGGTGAACCACCCTGCGCTGTCGTCCCCGTACACCACCAAGATGGCGGGCTCGTCTTTGCACCTGATTGAGACTGTGTTGACTATCGCGCTCGAGCTCATGATCGCGGTGACGGCACTATGATTTTCGAGCACGGGCTATTTGGCGACGTCGATCCACAGGACGATCTCGATGACCACGACGACCCTCGTGTTCCCTACGGAATCGCCGTAAGAGGGGCGGAGAAGCGAAGCACCCAGGTTTGTACCTGTCAGACGGAGCTGTGTGGGACAATATGAACGGGGCATAAGGAGCCACCGGCCCCTTTGTGCATTGACCGGCGATGACACTGTCCCTTCGAGTGCGTAACGAAGTTTTCCGCTGGACGTGCTGGTGGAGGAAGAGAAACGGGGCTTTCTAGTGCCGAGAACCCCGCCACCTTGGCCACAGCTGAGGCAGCGCGAACGACTTTGCCTCACCGTGCGGAAATGGCTTCGATGCAGCTTGTGCTTTTGCAGGCGAATTCAGTCTTTCAGGATCACATGTCTGTCCGATGGTGATCTTCGCGATGAATCCAAATGTGGTGTCTTTATTATGCCTCATAGCATGTGTGCTCCAGAACTCGCTGCATTTGGCGAAAAAGCTCCAATCGTCTGTGGTGTGGCGCGATGGCAGATAAAAGCGGCTGCTTTTGGTCGCTAATAATGGCTGATGTGCGACTGTCGAGTCATAGCCTGGCAGAAAAGATAGGTAGTCCGCCATCCCCCGCGAATTTTGATCTGAGCTCGTCCCAGCTTCCTCGCGCGATTTACAGTATGAATAGTTATCTTGCACGGAGCCAGCTCGTACCCCAACTCTGCAATATCGTGAGTAAGCAAGGTTTTATACGTATCTTATCACGTAATTTTTCACGTGCGTTCATCGAGCGCGCCACGGCTAGAGTCCCTCGATCGCTCGGAAGCATGCGTCCCGGGTTCTCCGGTATGTTACATCTGAGGGCCGCATTTTATGGAAGATTCTGAACACCGCCATCTTACTACCTCTTGATCACACTCACACAACCCCACGAGCCAATATTTCGCAGTGTTGAGCCGAGGCATTCCAGCAGTCGTTGTCTTTTTGTCGTTTCTCCGACAGACATACACAGTACTTTATGGCATCATTACTACTAACAGCAAGTGTTGACATTGAACTGGAACAGAACTATGCTACACGAGTCCAGGCTCTTCGCACGAATTGGAAACGCGGGCGACCGACCAGCGGCCGGCACGACGAAATAGCAACGGTGCCTCACGGCACCCCAACCCAATCAGCGGACAATGGTGGCAAATAAAGAGCTCGTCGACGAGGCTACGAGGCCATCATTTGCTCGATGCTTCGAGAGAAGCCATGTTCAACCGCATGAATCGTTCGAACATCTCCGCCATTTCCGCCATTGTCTTGTTAAGGACCTGCTGTGCCTCACCCATTTTGACCATCAGGGCTTCCAACCGTTGCAACCGCTGCTCGGTCGCACCCAAATGGCTAGGCGTTCCATTCGAGCTCGCACTAGGGCCGCGTTGCCTGCTCGGTGGTCGCTCTGAAGTCGATAATTCTCTTTTCTCTTGCTTGAGCGTCTCTGAGAGCCCTCCGTCGTGTGGCGGCGTCTTTCTCGATGCTTGCAGGGTTCACACAAGAGCTCTCAAACCCGGCTTGTCGTGGTGGGGGTATTCCATCCCTTATGCACACCTTCTCTATTTGAGCATTCGCACTCGTCGCTCCAAGGACTCTCCTCAGGCTTGTCGAAGTCAAGATGTTGATGCCGTTCTTGTGAAACCTGACACAACAGTCCGCGGGTGGATCCCTGCTATTTGCCGCTAGATTCTTGCGCTGCGTTTGCGACTTCGTCACCCACACACAGCAGCTCATCGAAGTCACCCCTATCCTTACTAGACCACGCCGACTGCCCGTCGGCCAAGTTTTTGTGGTCTGCTGCGGCCTTGTACTTCACCTCGAGAAGCCCAACCTCAGACGCTGATTCGTGTCGACGAGTTATCTGCCCGGTCTCCTCAACCCTCTCGACGCTCAACCGGGTTCCCCATTTACCATGCTGTCGCACACCAACGATCATACCTCCGTCTGCGGCACTGGCAGTGAGCCAAGGGTACTCGATATGTATTTTTATCACTTCAGGCACCCCGGGCGCCACGGTCGCTGTCGTGGTAGTGTTGGTAGACTTCTGCCTGATATAGTCATCGGCAGACATGACACCCCACTCCGTCGGGAAATGATGCCTGCTGATGAGCTTGTCGATGAGTTTCTTCTCTGCAGAGACGCGGTTCCTCGCGGTTTGGTTCTCTGGGTCGTCTCGGAGGACGGCGTACTCTTCCAGCACCACCTTGTAGTGAGGTCCAAAGAAAGAAACCGGGATCAACCATTGGCTGCCAGAGACTCTTTCGCTCTCCTTTTCTTTGGCGTCTTCAGATCTGTTGCCTTCTGTGATATTATCATTGATCTCCTTCAGCTGCTTGAGCAAAGCATTATCGTGAGGGTCTTCACCCAGCTTGTGAAGGAGTGGTGTCGCTTCACGGTATGCGTCTATTACTCGCAAAGGCGGTGTCGGTATTTCGTCCTCGTCCATTTCTTCGTCCTCTGCCTCTTCCCTCTCCAAGTGTCCATCCGCTTGCAATACCATCCCAGAGGCAAACTTCGTCAATGAACGGCTGGTCTACACCCATTTTCTTTGCGGCATCTTGCACCTCTGCCTCTCATGTTGGTCCAGCAGGCCTACTCGATGTGTGCCCACTTACTTTCGAAAGCATCTTTGGCCTTCTCCTGCTGGCAATAATACGGATGCGTCATACACCCCAAGCGCCTCATTAGATGCAGTTGTTCACAGCCGGTAGTGCCAGATGCGTGGCTTCGCGACACGGTTGGATCTTTTCGTGGGCGTTGGAGCGGGCGGCGCGCCCTGCTCCACCATGATCACGGCCTCAACTGCCTCTGCCACGATAAAGCTCGTTCGTGTGCTCGCACTCGCCTCGACCCGAGGGCGGCCGTTCGGCACTGGCCAATGGATCCTTAGGCGTGCGCACTGACTAATCTCCCACAGGGCGCTCTCCTATTGGCGCGTGGTGAAATACCGGCGAAGAATACCTCCTTACCATAGATCATTTAGTGCAGTGGCCCTCTAGGAGATTTCCTCCGGGCATAATACAATGGAATTCCCACAGTAATCGTACTTTAGGGAACGAGATTCGACGACAGCATCGCCTCAAGCTCCGCATACTTTGCCCCATCATTCCACGAATACTCTAATGTCTCCAGGACACGGCTGACATGCTGCACATCTGGTAAGCAAAGGCCAGGGAGTAAGGTGAAGCGATCATACCGCTAATCCAAAGCATTTAATTCGTACCAATTGCTCACGCAAGGTTTCTTGCTGGTATGGCTCAACTATAGAAATGCCCACACTGAGGAGCGGCCACAAAGTTGCCAGTTGGTTGATACCCGTCGAAAAGCGGCGCATTAGTGTGAATCCGATCGCCAGCAGTCTTTACTTCAGGATCATATGCCGCGCTACCGATCCTTCTCGTGGAAACTCTCTCGAGATAAATGGTGCATGCGAGGCCGTAACACCGAACGGACTTCTTTTTCTAGGTCTGGACAGTCCGATGGTTGGAAATTCGAACCCTAAACGGAAGGCTCTTCTCAAGGGACCCCAGTCCCGCAGCTGGACCACTTTTATAGAGGCCATCACCGCTGACGGGCGCGCCTTGACTCCAGGCATGATATTTAAAGGCAAATACCTTCAGACACAGTGGTTTAAGGAGGAGTTTTGGAGATTTGCGGACTGGCACTACATTACTTCACCCAATGGGTGGACGGACGACCATATTGAGTGGCCTGAAGAGGTCTATTTGCCTCAGATCCGACCTCTCGATAACTCTGAGGCCAGACTTATCATTCTAGACGGCCATGGGAGTCATGAAACGGTCTGTTCTTTGCGTATGTTATAATAGAGCGCTGCTGATTTGACAATAGCATGACTGGATGGCCATGTGCTTTTGAAAAATGTCTACTATTGTTATCTTCCATCTCACTGTTCTCATGGTCTCCAGCCACTAGACAACGGTGTTTTCAATGCCATAAAGGCAGCCTATCGGAAGGAACTAGACAAGCTTGCTTCTTTAACGGACTCTGCGTCCGTTGATAAGGTTACTTTTATACGTGCCTACGCCAGAGCACGTGAAGCGGGAATGACCGCAAAGAACATCCTGTCCGGGTGGAGGATCACTGGCAACTGGCCAATCTCGCGGGACAAGGCATTACGGCACCCTGAAATCCAGGACGACAAAGTTACGGCCTCACCTGAGTATAGGCCATATTTGGGATCTGACGACACGCCGAAAACTAGCCGCTATATCCGTGGTCTTGGCAAGAACAAGACATCTGCGACTAGAAGACGATACTCCAAGATTGCCAAAGGCTGGGAAACCCAAGAACAGAGGTTGACAGAGCATAGTAGTAAAATTGCCAGGCTGGAGGAGGAAGTGGACAGGCTCAAGAGAGGAAGAAAGAGAAGGGCCATTCCTAACCCAAATAGACGCTTCGTGAGTCTCGCAGAAGCGTTGGCGTTTGGAGAGGCCGTACAGTATCAACACTTGGGAGTCCGAAGAGGGTTGTTGTGGTGGATTGCGGCTCGTCAGAGAAAGAGGTGGAGACGTAGACGGAGATGGCTTCGGTGATTGAAGTCAAGTTACCTTAGCCTCCTCGGCGCACCACCAGGCTGAGTTTCGTGATAAAAAGACCAGAGGCGAGTAATATGTTCAATTCTATTTCCAATGAGGTAGTTCTTATGTACATATCATATTTCGTCGGAATACGAGCAATTCAAGTTTGGGAAATTTTGTGAGGCTAGTGTCGTTTACCTGAGCATAACGGGGGTGTGAGCCTAAGGTGGGGGTAAGATGGTACCTCAAGGCACCATCGTTTTATCGTCTACTTTGGATTGTGTGAATCGTTTAGTTGTCTGGGTTGCTGCGACGCGATTGCCTTGCGAACTTACTGTGGCCAGAGTGCAGCTGTCTAAGTGCCAGAGCGTACTCGTGGATGGTCTTTACTCGCTCCGTGTCCGACTTCGCAATCATTGAGGCAATCTTCTGCATCGGTGAGACGAATTGCTTGCTCACTTTGATCTTCGATGATGCCAAAGGGTGCGTCTTAGGGTGCGTCTTAGGGAGCGTCCGCAGGCTAATTCAGAATCTTGTCGCGGCTTGACCGTGCCGTTCTCGAAACGATGCGATGCCGTCGTTAGCCTCGGCTATCACCGCTGCAACTGTGTGGAAAGCTCCCGTGACAATCTTCTGGGCCCTGTCCAGACAAGCCGCTTCTCTCACGCCATACGTGTGCATCCACACATTGGAGGCGTAATCCATGGTTGGGGCTACCGTCGCGACAAACAGCTGTCTCGCCATTCGCGGGGCGGTACCTTTTTTAAGGAGATATCTATTAAATCTATTAGTCGATAGCTTATACTATTATAGAGTAAGTAAAGGTATATATATAAGTACTATCTATAGAATATTATTAATAAGCTATATAGAGCTCTTTTATATATAGCTAGCCTATATATATATATATAGGATCCGGCCCTTATATATAACTATATAGCTTAGGCTATAGCCTAAGCCTATAACCTATAATAGTTAAAGACTTTTATAGTTAATAGGCTATTACCCTTAGGTACCGTACTACTTATTAGCCTAGGTTAAGATCCCCCGCTACCTATACTATATATACGCTTTTAAGCTATAGCGCTTATATATATACGCGCTTATCTAGCCTTATATATAGGGACTTAAACCTATAACTAGTAAGTAGCTTAGTAAAAATATTATAGAGTAGACCTAATAGGGTATAGGCTATAGTCGCGCTATTACCCCCCTTTACTATATAATAAAAGGTAATAAATTAACTAAGCTACCTAGCTTATTAATTAACTATACTTATTAACTATCTAGGCAATACTTAGATACTTATACTATATAGCGGTATACCTACTTAATATAATACCCTTTAAATTATATAATTATAGCTAGTAAATCCAATATAAGCGTTAGTAGACCTAGATAAAAGATAATAATCTACTATATTACTATATTAAAAATATTAAGCTAGATATTATATACTTATAGGTCTTTAGCTATATAGCGTTCTTAAAAATAAATATAGTATTAGAATATATTAAGTTATATAAGATATAGTTACCCCTTAAGTAAAGGGCTTATATTAGCTACTTAGTAACCTATAGGTCTACTTAATAATATATTATATAGATACTATTAATTAAATAAAATAAACTAATAGTATTAGTTAATATATAGTTTAATAAGTTTATAAGCTATAATATAAAAAGAGAAGAGTAAGCCTAGCTAGTTTAAATATATAGCTATAATATCCTTAGTGTAGGAATGTATCTATCTAAGTGGTGTGACCAACCATGGTTGGCACGTGACCCGTACGGTCACGTGTGCGGCTGAGGGCAGCGTGCCCCCTTTCTCCACGCTGGCCTCTGCCTCCTTAGATAGAGAACAAGACGAATACAACATCAGGTTAACCCTAGTACCGTCTCATTGCAGCAGCTGCCGCAGGTGCCTACCCACACTGATCAGTGACCGGCCCACGCCCGTCACAGACAGCTAAGTAGAAGAGACAAATTCCTCAACCTTCGAAGGTGCTATAGTCCGCGTCACTTTACTGTGGCCCTGAGTAGCGCTCAGAAGAAGGTTATTTGTGCTAAGAACAAGGAATCTCCCGCTGGTTTGCCCAGCCGCGCGAGAGTCCTTCCAACTGTTGATTACGATCGCCCGCTAGTTTGCCTAGCCGTGAGCACCGGAATCGACAGGCGACCACATCGCAAACAACTAGTAAGAACGTTCGACCCTTGACGTTAAGTAGCAAGATCCCCGTCAGTTCAGTCTGGCCGCGAACGACCTACTTAGTACGCGACGCTCGACCTCCTATTAGCGACAACTCGTATACGAAGAGACCAATACGAACCCCACATCGTCTCATTCATTTGATCACGATAGCCCCGACCGCCCGAGCTATGTCCCCAGAAGCCCAGCTCGAAGAAATATGCGACCAGATGCAGGCACTAGACATCCAAGCATCCGCATTCCGACAAATTAATATCGACCTTTGGGACAACGATATCACACACGACGAAAAGGACAAGATCGCAGTAACGACATATGTGGCAAAGTTCATATTCATCGTTCAATCTGGCAGTGATCAAGGATACGACCTCCTTGGTTACTTCCAACAGCATTTTGAAGAATGGACCGAAGACACATGGGACCGCGCCCCGAATGAATACAAGAGAGCCCTCAGAAACTACTAAGGAAAAGAGGTATCTACACAGGTTCACAAAGGGGAAATTCGCAACACAATTTCTCATATTACAAACTATCGAGAACCACAAACCTGGCCAGAGCAGGAGTTTACGGAGATGGTGTTTGATGAGAGGACTGCTGCCTTCAGGAGGCAGACAGCATTACTAGGATCAAATGCTTCCACTAATCCCCATCCGTCTCAACCTCCTTCACCATCAGTTACGCCCTTAGCAGCACCTCATCAAGGTCTTAACGAACCACAACCTATTAAGACCCTAACGAGCCCTCCTAACGCACCTACTCCTGCTCCGACTATCCAAGATAAACCTGCTCCGACCTCTCTTACTATTCATCCGACTTCCTACCGCTTCCAGAACCCCGATCTCGTCCAACCTTTCACCAACCCCATCCCCGAACACTTATCCGGCCCTGCAACCTTTGGAGAATACATGAAACTCCCCCCGGATAACATCCCGAACGCTATCGTCGATAGCGACATCCAGCAGAAGTTTATGAAGACCTGGAACAAAGATCGGAACTACACAGGAGAGCCGTACGATCTCCTTGATGATAAGCTCCGCCTCTTCTTAAGCAACTGCTCTCATATCCAAGTGAAACCGTCACAATTTCACGCACTCTTTCCCGGATCCTTGATGGAAGAGCCCAAAGATTCTATCTTGATAAGATCACATGGGCTACGACGTTCCGACAAGCGTATGATATCTTCAAACAACACTTTGACACGGAAGTCAACCATGTCCACTACCATACTGACTGGACAACAATAACCTTTAACTCCATCCGTGCCCAAGATGCTTCGAAGACCCCCCACGAAGTGCTTCAAATCCTCTTTGATAAGCTTCAGCTCTGCCAACGAGCCCTTGGCAGGGAGTACGCAGGAGACCTTCTACTGCGTACAACGCTTATGAAAGCATGCCGTGGAGTACCCGAACTCCAATACGCTCTTTTCAAACCCGCCGATAACGTCGAGCACCTTCTTGCAGATCTTCGTGCATCCGTTGAAACCCATCTTGCCCTCATAACAACTTCTCAATTTCCCTTGACTTTGCTGGATCATTCGATCATAACGATCCACGCCATCAGTACTACCTCGACCGTCGATACAATAACAACCGCTCTCGAGGCAGATACGGATATTCAGGTCAACGACCCAGCCGCGGATACGGACAAAGCTACAACCGTGGAAACTACCGGCCTCAAAGCCGTAGTAACTACAATCCTAGCTACAATAACCGCAACTGGACAAAGAAGTGTTTTGTTTGTGGACAAGAAGGCTGTTGGTCAACTAAACACTCTACGGATGAACGACAAGAGGCCAAGGACCAACATATCACTCAATGCCACTTCATAGGTGTACAACTCACGGACATCGGAGGCTATATTCTAGACTACGAAGGTCATGAGATGAGCAGCTTTGATGACACTGAAGATACATGGGAAGAACATGACAATAGCACCAACGATCACCCGGAACAATGGCAAGCAAGCCAAATGCTCTGTCAACAGGCATTCAATCATTTGATCACAGGAGAAGACGTCTATCAGACGGATCAAACCGTTGTTCCAGCCTCGCAATTTATTATTGAAGATCGCTATTCAAGGGATAGATTCCAAGGTATCATGATCGACACAGGTGCAGCAACATTCTCCACA